TCGGTTATGAAAAATAGCGTCGTCTGTGACTGAATTTCTTTTTATTTTGTAAACCTTAATAATCATTGTTTATGGACTGTAGTTTGCCAAGGGAAAAGAGCAAGCGCCATACCCCCAAGCAGCCATTGATGAAGTCCGAAATGAATGGGCAGATCTTGTTTGCCTTCATATGGAGTAGAGGATTTTTGGAACAAATGATATTTTTATATGTACAAATTTTATCTATAATATATAATGTACAAATTTTGTCTATAATATACATCCTTTTTTTCCCTGAAAATTTGTTGAGGTTTTCATAATTTAAAAGAAAAAACAAATTGCGTAACCAACGTGTAATAACTTTCCAACGACATAATTATGTCAAAAACCGATGTAAAAGGATATTAACATCACTTATAGTTTGATGGTTTAGGGTTTAGGGTTTGGGGTTTAGGGTTGTTATTTATTAGGGTTTAGGGTTAAAGTATAATTTTTGGGGTTTAGGTTTTATGTTTGTTATATATTAGGCTGTAAAACCATAAACAATTTTATAAAATTATATTTTAAAAATATATAATTTAGGGTTTAAAGTTTAGGGTATTACTTTTAACGACGGTGATTGAGTCGTGGAATATAGAGTTTACGTCGGATGGTGAAACATCCGCCATGGTTTCTCTTTTAAACGACGTCCTTTTTACAAGTGAGTCGTTTATTGTTATTTACAACGCCGTTAATTACTTAACCCCGACGTGGTTTGTTGTTGATATAAGAATATTTTATTATTTTTAATTCAAAATATTCAAAATAAATTTAAAATAAATCAAAAAAATGCAACGTCAACTCCTATGAAGTCATTGATATATTTTCTTCCCCCTAAACCTCAAAAAAATTGCAGTTTGGGTAATAAAAGTTTAAAATAACCACCCAAAATAAAATTGTTTTGATGAGTCATAACATCACTTATAGTTTGATGGTTTAGGGTTTAGGGTTTGGGGTTTAGGGTTGTTATTTAATAGGGTTTAGGGTTAAAGTATAATTTTTGGGGTTTAGGGTTTATGTTTGTTAT